ATGTGTATGTCTAGATTAAACATGTTAAGTGTGCACATGCCTATGTATATAACATGTTTCATATGTAAATATGCAGGTGTTTCATATGTACTTTGGGTTTGTACCATTATATTGTGCATGTTATGTGTATACATCACATATATAACAGGTGTGTTATATGCATCTGCAAGCATTTATTTCGTTAGGCATGCATATGGGATGTATATATTTGCATATGTATTGCCTTTCTTTGTTGTCTCTAGTGCTTATAGTGACTGCCAGAATGACTGATTTCACTTGGTGAATGGTGACTTCATTTGTACAGGGAAGTCTCAGAGAGGATACTCCCTCTACCAATGGCATCTCAGCACATCCTCTAAAAATGTATCATCTTAGACAGTTGTCTTGGCCCCTAAGAATTGTCCCCACAGAGTTGTTATGAGGATCAAATGAAATAATACATAGGTAAAGTATTTTGCAAACCTTAAAATGCTATCTAAATATCAGCTGTTGTTATCTTGAGTCACAAGAAGTGGTATTTGAAGCCAGCTCCTTCTTGTTGTTGTTCTTTTTTTATTTCTAGTGAGAGGTATGGTGGCAAAAGAGCCAGTTTTCAAGTTGACAAGACCTGAATTCCAATTCTGCCTCTCATACCCCCCCACTGGGTGAACCCAAGCAAATCACCTAACATCTCTGATCCCAAGTGACTCAGACTCTAAATTACAGAGCATCCACTCACTTAATGCTGACACAGGGAGTTGGGACTGGGGAAAGGAGAGAGGAGGGGATTGCTAGTGTACTGAAATCCTAGGTCCAGACCAAAAAACGTATGACAATTGGCCCTCCACTCAAGTACTACTCCAGAACACCCTTAAAAGTGGGGAGCTGACCCTCTGTCCTTGAAGACTAGGCCAGTACAATGCGCAGGTTTCTGGCAAGATTATGGCTCCTAGAAGTACTAAAGTCAGTCTCATACTAGGTGAATGTATACATACAATTACAAGCTGGGTTTTGCTCCCTGCATAAAGTCAAGGCTATTTTAGCTATCCCCTCCAATGAATGCCTCATCATGGCTGGAAGGTGAGCTGGTATCCCATCAAGCCATTATGCCAGCAGAGCTTGTGGCATGTCCTATCAAGCCTAGAGGAGCTCTGAGAGCATGCCCAGTAACAGTCTATGCCAGGGGTGAGGAACCTGCAACCTCAGGACCACATGTGGCTATCAAGTGCAGCCCTTTGACTGAGTCCAAACATCACAGAACAAATCCTTTATTAAGGATAATGGACTCTATGTCACAGAAGGCTCAAGCGCAAGAGGCTCATCCATCGTAGGATACCAGGTGATGGACTTTTTTCTAGACACAGCTACTCGCCAATTACCAAATGAGGAAGGCTTGGGGTCTGGAAGGTATGGTCATGCCAATGAAGTCGTGGATCTTTGAGGTAGGGAAATCAATATCAATTGGTAAATTACTCTGTGGACCAAAGGTTCTTAACCTGGAGTCTATGAATTTCTAAAAACATATTTTGGTAACTGAATTTCAATATAGTTGATTTTTGTTTCTTTTATAATCCTATTGATTTTATTTTATATTTTGAAAACCCATTATTCTAAGAAGGGGTCTCTAGGCTTCACCAGGCTGCTAGAGGAGTTTATAACAAAAAGACTAGGAACCCCTGCTCTGGTAATTTTCTGTGTCCCACTATCACATGGCACCACAGGCAGAGGATTGGGCTTGGAGCCAGGACACCATGCTCCAATACTTTTGTGGGAATCTCTCCCCCCCTTTAAGGCTTAGCTTCAGCCCACCTCCTACATCATCACCACCCCATTTATATGGCTTTAAGATTTTTAAGTTATTATATCATTTTATTCTCACAACAACACTGAGAAAAGGATGCTATTATTGTCCCCATTTCACAGATGAAGAAACTCAGAAAGAGGTTGTGACTTGTCCAGGGTCACATAGCTAATGGCATCTGAGGAAGGATTTGAACTCAGGACCAGTGCTTCAGTCAGGTCCTGTACCACCTAATTCCTACCTAAGGGCTTTCCTTATTTCCCCCCTCATAGATGTTAGTGTTTTCTTTAAATTCCTTTGTATTTGTTTAATCTGTGTGCATGCTATACTCTCCCACTTGCCCATCCCTCAAAAGTTCCTTGAAAGCAGAAACTATTTAGGGTAGAGATGGATGTCTCTGAATCTCAAGACTTATCTTAGTGCCTTGCTTGCATTTATTAGCTGTCAATCATAAGTGTTGCATTGAATGGCATGTGTTCTGGGGGCAGATCTCTTAAACTTTACAAAATGAATTCACCTCACCTGTGAAACAAGGGTAGGGAATCTTTATTGCCAACTTAATTCTCACTTATTCACATTGTTATTGAGGTTTAAAATTCACAAAGCACTTTCCTCACATCAGCCCTGTTAGGTAGGTCAGTGAAGTTCTAAGGGTGGAAATGACTTGCCCGGGGGTCACACAAGTAAGTGTCAGGGTTGGTTGTAAAGTATAAAGCATCACAGAATTTTTAGGTACTGCTTAAGACTGCCACTCAGCACTGACTCTAGCACTGCCTCCAGATATACCAGAGCATTCTTGACCTCCAGATTGCTGCATGGTCCTGGTGGTCTTAAGCCAGATTTTGTCACCATCCCCAGAAAGCATTTATGAAGCTCTGCAGCCTCTGCCTTACAATGTGAGCCACGTCGACATGGCCTCTGCCCTCCTGGAACATTTTCTAAAAAGTGCAGCAAAGACAGCATGAGCTTTGAGGCCACCTTGGCTCAGAGAGTCAGGGAAACGTCATGTAGAGATGGCAGCAGGGGAGTGGGACACTAGATAATTGATGGTTTAATATTTATGGAAAATCCACTTGCAAGAGATGTGGGTCTTACAGAGTAGCAATTTATATTCCATATAGTTAGCAGAAACCTTAGAGGTGGGAAAAGAGATTGTTTATAGGGAGAACCCTAATTGCAGAACTGGTCAGTCGATTGTAAAGTGAGGAGACTGAAAGTTCTCAAATCTCAGTTTCCTCTAAAGTCACCAAATGCCCCCCTTTCTCCCTAATGCTTCTTTTCGTTATTGAAGATTCTGCATCCTAAAAGAGTTAGAAATCATGAACTCAGAATATTCAAGTTGGAAGGGCATTAGAACATGGAATGGAGGTATCTGAAAACAGAGAATACTGACATCAATTCAACTCAATTAAATTTCATTTGATAAACATTCATTAGGTTCTTATTATGTGCCAGGCACCATACTGGGAAATATAAGAACTAGAAGAGAACGTTAAAGGAGGGAACATAAAGCATTAGAGTCAGGAAGGTCCTTCAAACACAGAACTAGAATGTTAGAGCTAGAAAGGATATTAGAACCTAAAGAGACCTCAGAGATCATCCAGTCTAGGGCTTCTCAGCCTTTTTTGTGTCCTAGATTGCCTTGGAAATCTAATGCAGTCAATGGTTTCCTCAGAATAATGGGTGTTTTTAAATAAATGACAAAAATACTATATTTTAGTTAGAAAGCAAAAAGAAAGATGTAATTTTTCCCATCCAGGTTCACAGGACCCCTGAACCAGGTTTAAGATCCCCTGATGTAGTCCCAACCACCTAATTTTAAAGATGAGGAAACTGAAGCTCAGAGAGAGGTCTATAAATAAGAATGTGATAGATGATTTCCATAGCATCATCTAGAAGTAATCTAGATGTAATCTAGAACCCTTCTAGGGTCCCTTCCCTAGGGAAGGAACTTTGAAATTCTATAATTCCAATCCCACAGCAATCTAGGGAGCCAATAATGTTAGAGGGATAACATTTATAACAACTTATATATGATAAATGTCATGTTGTTATAAGTAAACTAAGACCAGAGAAGGGAAGGGACTTTCCCAGGCAGGAACCCCTTTCACAAATGGCTCAGCTGAGATCTGAACTCAGATCCTTTAACTTCCAAACCTAGTTCCCTTGCCACTCTACCAGGCTGACATCTTCAGGAAAGGGAAGCAACCATTTCAGGAATGGTGGCAGATAGCAAATTCAGCAAAAAAAAAAAAAAGCCCAGAAAGCAGGATGAATTTTTTTTACTATTTATCTAATACATGCTGATATAATTTTCAGAGGTTTAGTATCACAGCTTCACTTCCCACTCATCTCCCTTCTTCACACTAATTGCAAATGTGCTAAAATGTCAATTACCAGTCTCCTTTTCCCATACTTTAATGCTGTATTTAGTCTTCCTTTTTAGGGAGGCAGCAGGTTCACTAAAGAGCTACATTCCATAGAGGCCATCAGAAGGAATGGCCAGACATCTGGAATATCCCTAACCTTACGACCTTTTACAGTACTACTATTCAAGACATGGTCAAACTGCTTACCTCTTAGAGATACTGTGTTGTAGAAGAAATGACACTGGGCTCAGAGACACTAAACCCAGGTTTTAGTCCTAGAACCAGAACTGCTTGACCTTTGGATAAGTCTTTTGGCTCTTAGCTCCCGCAATTTAAAAATGGGGGCAATAATCCTTGCACCATCTACCTCACAAAATTGTGAGGTAAGCATTTTGTAAACCTTAATATGCCACAGAAATGGATATTGTTATTTTGTATGATAATAATGTCTCCACCTAGGAAGCCACCTTATTCCTACACTCCAGGTATGAAAAAAGGTAAAGTTCTAAGGCACAGGAGGCAGAGTACAATAGAATTTAAGGGCTGGAAGGGACATAAGAGACTATTTAATCTAACCTTGGGACAGCTAAGTGATACATTGGATAGAGCTGCAGGCCAGGAGTCAGGAAAACTCAACTTCATAAGTTCAAATCCAGCCTTAGACACTTACTGGCTGTGTGACCCTGGGCAAGTCATTTAACCCTTTTTGCCTCAGTTTCCTCATCTGTGAAATGAGCTAGAGAAGGAAATGGCAAACTACCTCCAGTATCTTTGCCAAGAAAACCCCAAATGGGATCATGAAGAGTCCGACAGGACTAAACAATAACAATCTAAACTTTTTCTTTTTACAGGGAGAAAAGTGAAGCCAATGGAGAGGGGAAAAAAATTATTTGGACAAGGTCACTCACACACCTGTTCATGAGCCATATCCTGAGAAGAGGCCAGAGCACAGCTTTCACTGAATGGTAAGTTTTGAGAGGCTTGAGATACCCTATAATAGAGTTGACCTTTTATCTGAGGTCAAGCTAGGCACCCTTCCTTCAGCCTCTTAAAAGGAAATACATGCACCAATCATAGCACCTGCATACAAAAAAAAAAAAAGCTCTCCTGTCTCCCTGACCCCAATCCCTGGTACCAAGCAAAGCATTTTGTTCTAGCATTGACCTTCTTGAGATGTAATTTTCCTGAGGTCCAATGTCCCCATATCAGCTGAAACTGGAATCTCCCCACCCAGCCATTAAGTCCCTCCTCACTTTCCTCCAACTATTAAATGGAATTACATATGTAAAACACTTTGCCAACTTTAAAGTGTTTTATTCATGTAAGTTATGATGGACCTTTCCCATGTTGTGCTATAAAATATATGTATTGCTATCAATCAAGCAGCCCTGCTTCTCTGACTAACTCTGCCAACCATTAAAAAGCTTTTCCGTTCATCAAACTCTAAATTTGTCTTTTTGTAACTTCCTTCTGGCATCTAGGACCAAGCAGAAGAAGTCTAATCATCCTTCTTCCACATAGCAGCCCTCCCAGAACTTGAACCATGATAGCACCCCTTCTCCAAGCTAAAAATTTCCTGTTCTTTCAACTAATCCTCATATGGCATGAGCTGGAGTATTCTATCTCCTCTCCCCTATAGAAGCAGCTACATAGCGGATAGAGGGTTGGGCTTGGAGTCAGGTAGATCTGAGTTCAACTCCAGCTTCACACTAGCTGTATAACTCTGGGTGAGTCACTTAACCTCTATTTTCATCCATTTTCTCACCTGTAAAGTATGGGTGATAATAATACTATCTCCCAGGGTTGTTATGAGGATCAAATGAGGTAATATTTGTAAATCACTTAGCATGGTGCATGTCACACAGTAGGTGGTTCATAAATGCTTGTTCCTTTGTTTCCCCTTCTCTATAACCTTCCAACTTATCAATGTCCTTCCTAAAATGTAGCACTGAAAACTAAATGCTCCAGAGTAGTATCTCAAGTCCTGGACACTGTCTGTCTCTTAAGGCAGCCCAATAATGTGTTTTCAGTCTTGGAGCAACATATCATACTGCTGACTTTTATTAAGTTTGAGGTCTAGTAAAACCCCCAGATCTTTCTCAGGTGAACTGCTGTTTAGTCATGCCTGTCCCATCTTGTATTTATGCTATCGTGTCACAGTGATTTTTTTTAACTCAAGCCTAAGATTTTGCAAAATACATGAAACCCTATTGCGTTTCATCTTAGTAGATCTGGCCCAACATTCTAAGCTACCAAGCTATGTTTGAATACTGTCATCCAGTATGTTAATGTGTGCTCTCTCTCTCTCTCTCTCTTTCTTTCTCTCTATCTATCTATCCATCTCAACCTCTCCCCACCCCAGCTGAGTATCATCTACAAATTTCGTAATCCTTCCACTTGTGCTTTCACCCAAGTTTTTAAATAAGATTGTGAAATACCACAGGACACAGTTGATATCTAACTATTAATGACTAGCCCTTGAGTCCTGCCATTCTACTAGTTCCAAATCTGCCTAATTATATTCTCATCTAACCTATACCTCTCCAACTTTTCCACCAAAAAAAAAAAACAGCATGATAGATTTTTTTTGGCAAATGCTTTACTAAAATCTCAGTAAACTATAGCTACAGCATTCCCTTCTTCTACCAGTCTCATAACCCTGTCAAAAAATAAATATGGTTACTTTATCAAAACCTGCCTTTGAGTAAACCCTGCTAGCTCTTTGTTACTCATTGTCATGAAAATAGTGCTCAATTTGGAATTAGAGGACCTGTGTAATCTTGGGCAAGTGAGTCAGTCTCTCTGGGCCTCAGTTTTCTCATGTATAAAATAAGAGTTTTGGACTAGATAACTTCTAAGGTCCCTTCCCATGCTAAATCTGTGATTCTGCAATGCTATGTGTTCACTAACCATGTTGTTAATAGCATATCCCACAATTTCATCAAGAATCAAAGTCATGATCACTGGCCTAGAGTTTATAGGCTTCCTTCTTTCTTCCCATTTTTGAAAATCAAATACCATGTTGTCCTCTTCTTTCACATGCTGCCTTTCCTGTTCTATATGGTCATTCACAGATAGATGACAGTGACTCAGTAATGACACCCATCATTTTATTCAGTGCCATTGGATGAAGTTCATTTGAATTCTTCAAAGGCAGCTTACTATTTCTTTATTTATCTTGGCTACCACCTCCCCATGAGCCACTTTTGTTCTGTTCTTTCTAGGCCAAAGATTGTTTTCCTTGCCAGAAAAACAGTCAAAACAAGAGCTGAGAAGCTCTGCACTTTCTCTGTCATCGGTTATCTTTGTCCCATCCACCCTGAGCATCCATCCTATCCTGGAGCCACCTCTCTTCTCTAGCATGGCTACTTTTTTTCTCTTCTTAGTTTTTCTTTCCAGCCTCAACTCCTTCTCAGCCTTAGCATTCCTGACACTATTCTGGCCCATGCTTTTGTATTCAACCTGTTACTTACTCTTGCTTCTATCTTCTGCTCATGTCTTTTTAAAATCCAAGCTAATTGATTGGTGCCCTGTGCATCCACACTGGTCTCTTTTGATAGCTGTCCTCCCCCTACACCCCACCACACAAACACAGCCTGCACCCTTCCCTTCTTTCTCATTGGGAACGTTTCTTTGTGTTTTCAGAATTTCATTCTTAAGCACTCCCAATTCCTCCTGGGCTGAATTGTAGTCCACTGGACCCTACATATCTTTTCTCAAAACCCTTTGAAACTCACAGAGTTCTTGAATGTGTGTCAGACCATGCCCAGCTTCCCTCTCCTTTTCTATCTCCCTGTTGTTCTCTAATTTCTAGAATGAGGCCTATGGCAGGCTGATGATTGAATTCAATCAATAAGTTAAGAAGCAAATACTAAGTATGTGGCCAGTACTGTTCTTAGTATTGGGTATTAGAGAGATGGGAACTAGGGAGAGGGAGAGAGAGAGAGAGAGAGAGAGAGAGAGAGAGAGAGAGAGAGAGAGAGAGAGAGAGAGAGAGAGAGAGAGAAAGAGAGAGAGAGAGAGAGAGGCAAAGAGAGAGGGAGAAGGAGAAAGAAAGAAGGAGAAGGGGGAAACTCTAGCTACTTTAAAAGGATGGGCTCAGTCTCTTAACATCTTACAGAACCCCATGAGCACCTTCATGAACACACGCCAGTGATGTCACTGTACTGCTGAGACCCAGGAATGTCAGTTACTAGGGGTTTCTGGTCAATATAGCCAAATAACACTTGTTGTCTGTTCATCCATTCAATCAATTAGTCAATAAACATTTATTAGCATCTACTATGTGCCAGGCACTGTGCTAAGTTTCTTCCATATGAAAGGATTTTCATTAAGAAATGAGGGAGTAAAAAAAGATGAATAAGACACAGGTCCTAATCTCAAGAAATTTGCAATCTAGTAGAAATGAAAAGATGTGTATATAGGTAACTATAGTTCAAAATATAATTGATAATGCACTAGGACCACAGATTTACAACAGGAAGAGACTTTTGAGGTCTAGTCCAACTCCTTCATTTTATAGATGGAGAAATGGAAAGTAGGAAAGAAAGTGACTTGCCCAAAGTCACACAGACAGTAAGTAGCAGAGTCAGGATTTGAATGCAGGTTTGGACTCCGCCTCCAAATCCAATTCTCTTTTCACTATCCCATACTGCCTCCCTAAGAGAGATATGAAGTGCTGTGGAAGTGGGGAAGAGGGAGCGGTCACTATTACTTGGTGAGGGGTGGGGAGAGGGGATCAAGAAACACTCCAAGGATGAAGTAGCATTTGATTTGGACCTTAAAGGATAGGTGAGATTTGTCCATGTAGAGCATAGAGGTGGGGATGAGTTTGAGGGGGGAGTCTAGAAGGAAGGGATGAGAGGATTGGGGATGGGAGACTGGAGAGACATTCCAGACAGAGGTAACACCATGAGAAGAAGCAGAGATGGGCAACTGAAGGACATCTTTGGAGAATGGCCCAGTTTGGTTACTGTGTAAGAAGTGTAAAGGAGAGTGAAGAGATGTCCAGAAGGCTAGCACCAGAGGCCCAAGGCACATCAATTTCATCAATCGATGCAAGATTTTTTAAAATTTTGTATAACTTTATTGTTTTCTATAACTCATATCTGTACAAGTGCCTTTAAATACAAAAAAAAAATACAAGCAGATATTATCACTTTACCCTGAAATAAAATTTTAATCCTACTATCTCTACTATGTGCACTGTATCGATTGATTTAGCTTGGTCCTTCAAGGTATTCTTAAATCCCAGTCTTTTTCATGCCAGGATAGGACTAAATGATAAATAGCCTTCACTTTCAAGCTAAAGAGTTTAGATCTGATTCAGTAGGGAGCCACTGAAGTTTTCTGAGTGCAAAGAAAGGATTGGAGCCATCAATTAAGATTAATCTAAAAGAGACATAGGATTGGTAAGAGGAGGAGTGACTGGGGGCAGGGAATACAATTAACAGATTCCCTCTAGTTTGTCTACCTCCCACTTAGGAATGGTCCAGTATAGGCTTTGGATAGGAAGCTAAACTTCTTAAGTTAAAAAAAAACTGCAAAGGATCCACGGTGCTATTTAGTCTCTTCCACTGGTGGCTAAGTATAATGAGCAGACAGGGCCTCTGTCCATCAGGCCCAGGCTGGAGAAGAACTGAGAGGTAAAGTGATGTGCCCAGGGTGATACAGCTAGTGTCTTCAGCAGATTTGAAGTTAGTTCTTCTTGATTTCAGGTCCACTATTAATTAAGCACCTACTATGTGTTAGGCACTGTGTTAAGCACTGGGGATACAAAGAAAGGCAAAAGACAGTCTCTGATCTCAAGGAGCTAACAGTCTAATCAGAGGGAAAAGCAAACAACTACATAAAATGAACTCTATCAGGGATAAATTGGAAATAATCTAAAGAGGGAAGGCACTAGAATTAAGGGGGATTTCCTCAGTCTTCACACAGTCCTGGGTTTTATGCTATCTGATGCACT